AGATCCATGGCTAAAAACAAGTAATTTCCCGTTTTTTGTTATTTTTTCTCCAAATTTCGCAGACAGCCCTCAAACATCTAATCACTTTTTCCAAACAATTTTTTTCGAAATTTTGCCATCTAACCCCACTTTTCGCGTTTCCATACCTAAATTTTCGAAATTGCCGCCACAAGAATGGTCACGTGATCAATGTCAAAATGTACTTTTAGGTTCTCGGACATGCAGGATCGATCGCACATAAGTAAAAGTTCCATATCCTACAGATAATTTTTTTTCCCATATGTAGCGAACATTATGGGGGACACTGTATATTCCTGAGAAGCGAAAAATGGAAATCCACAGAGATGTTATTTTCTTGCCAGAAAAAACTAAAGTAGAAAATAAGACAGATGAAGCAATAAAAATGATGGAAGAAAACAATGAAGAAGAAACAAATGACTTGGAATATATGGAGAATAATGAAAACAGATCAGAAAACAGTGAAAATTTGGATGACTGAATTTTCATCCAAATTTTCACTGCACTTTATTTTTAATTGTTCTTCACAGTAAAAATGTCCAAAAATAAATAGAATGACAATGTTTTAATTGTGTATTTTATTTTGTTGTTGGTTCGTTCATTGCGAAAGAGCGCGAACTGGTCTCCCTGTCATTTCTTGACGCTTGACCATTGACGTTCTGTGGCTAAGTTCCGTTTCTCCTCTTAGGCATCCCTTGACAGCCGTGTTCCGTGCCGACTGTTCGGAGTGCTCCGTCCGGCTGGTGTCGAGTGGCAGAGAGCCAGGTTATGAGTCCGCTACAACCATTTTGTATACGGCGCCATATATGATAGGTACCTAGAACGAAGCTCGCCGTTGCGCGGTAATTTCATTGCAGATACAGTAGAACAGAATACTGCTAAGGAACTGGAGCTATTCCGAACAGAACTATTCCACTATTCCGATCAGATAAAGTGGTGCAGAAAGAGTAGATCAGATAGAATAGTGCAGATACAGTAGAACAGATGGAGTATTGCAGTGCAGATAAAATGAAACAGGGCTGCGCTGGAGATTTTTTTTGTTTTCTTTACATTTTTTGAACATTCCTGTGCCTGAGTTTATTTATTTGGTGGTACACTTTATAAGAATAATGCCCACAAGATGCCTAAAAAGGGATGATGTAAAATTTTAATTTTAGGTGGCTTCTGATCCAGAGAGTAAAAATTAATTTTCTTCAACCAAAGCCAAATTCACCATCGAAAAAAACTGAATTTAATTCAGTTAATAGTTAATAGATACGTTAACACAACATTTAATAGGTATTTAATAATTCAGAGGAGGTACGAAGTTCGCCGGGTCAGCTAGTTGCAGATACAATCTAAGAAAATAACGGAAAAGAAACACCAGGTATGATGACTATAAAATGAATTTAGACACAGTCAATGAATGATGATGAATTTGAAATCATGTGTTATGACGATGCAATGGCTAATTCAGACTGTAAAAATTGGGAAGAGGCAATCATAACTGAAATATGTGCGTTGGAAGAAAATCATACTTGCGGTTTTTAGTGAGTGAAGAAGAGGTTAAAAATAAAATTATTGAATGTAAATGGGTGTTTAAGAGAAAGAGAGACGAGTTTGGAAATGTTACAACATATAAGGCAAAATTGGTGGCACGTGGTTTTCAACAAACTGGTATGTACAATTCTGATGTTTATAGTCCTGTTGCCAAATTACCCTCAATAAGGGTTTTCTTAGCAATATGTAACAACTTTGAGTATAAAATTTATCAATTAGATGTTTGCAGTGCATTCTTGAATGGACTTATAGATGATGATGTGTATATTTCGTTGCCTAAAGGTTTTGATGGAACAAATGAAAAATCGCAAAGCTAAGAAAATCCTTATATAGTCTCAAGTCTTCACCAAAGAATTGGTACAAAAGATTTAATGATCTCATGTTAAGTTTAAATTTTAATAGATCAGAAAATGAATATTGTATTTACACAAAAATCACAGAATCTTCCAAACTTTTTATTTTGCTTTATGTTGATGATCTCTTATTGGCAGGATCAAATGAAGTAGAAATTAAAGAATTAGGGCAGATTTTAAACAAACATTTCAAAATCAAGGATTTAGGACCCATAAGGCATTTTTTGGGGATATTAATAACACAAAGTTTGTCACAAAATCGAATAATAATAAACCAGACAACGTATCTTAAAAACATTTTAAAACGTTTCAATAGGCAAAACTGCAAACCGTGTAATACACCAATGGAGCCAAATTTTAGACATGACCTTTTAAAACGCGAAAAATCAGAAACTGTAGTAGTAGTCCCCAGTACATCGACCCTAAAATTTTGTAACTCATGTACTCGCCAAACTTCCTGAGCGGCTTCATAACACCAAGTCGGACAATATTTTTCATATCTCCACCCCGGGCGATGGGACATTGCCGCGCTAGCTCTTCGTGAAGTTGTCGTTCTGACGTCCCTAAGGAAGTTGATACATGTACGTGTAGTTTCAATGCCAATCGAATGTTTTTTATATTACATTAACGGTATCACATTTGTCGGACAAAAACCATGTGGCTTTGGGGAAGGTCCGACGCTCTCAACATGTCGCTGTGGCGTCCCTGAGGAAGTTGATACATGTACGTGTGGTTTTGATGGCAATCGACTGTTATGTTACATTATTGATATCACATAGATCGGACAAAAATCACGTGGCTTTGGGGGGGTCCGACGCCCCCAACATGTCGCTGTGGCGTCCCTAAGGAAGTTGATACATGACGTAGGTCCGACAAAAATAATTATGAATAACAATGTAATTTTAAAAAATTTGTAGTAAATATCGGACAAATAAAATGAGTATTAAAGTCAGTCGGACAACAAAAGTCCTTTTGATCAATTTCTGCCGAAGTTCAGGATCTTCACTCCTGAGATTGCACAAAAAACACGACTGAATATCCATTCTTTCTCACACGCGTGGTTTTGAATGACCGTTCACTAAATAATTTCCGTAAATACTCGGAGAACTATCAAAAAAACAGATCAGGGAATATGACACAGGGCCCTACAGGTATTTGACAAAAAACGTAAATAATAAACTGACTAATAATATGCACGTTGCGTTAAAGCAAACTAATTTTAATTTTTTCATTGATTGTCTCAAATTTCTTGTCCGACAAATGTGATATCGTTAATGTAATGTAAAAAACTATCGATTGGTATTAAAAACACACGTACATGTATCAATTTCCTTAGGGACGCTACAGCGACATGTTGGGGGTGTCGGACCTTCCCCAAAGCCACATGGTTTTTGTCCGACAAATGTGATATCGTTAATGTAATGTAAAAATCAGTCGATTGGCATTGAAACTACACGTACATGTGTCAACTTCCTTAGGGACGTCAGAACAACAACTTCATGAAGAGCTACCGCAGCAATGTCCCATTGCCCAGGGTGGAGACATGAAAAATATTGTCCGACTTGGTGTTATGAAGCCGCTCAGAAAGTTGGGCGTGTACATGAGTTACAAAATTTTAAGGTCGATGTACTGGGGACTATGAAGCTATATTGACGTTGGATCTGGGATCTAACAAACTATTTTATATTTCATTGTTGTTAAACCCATACTGTAACGGAATTTACGTGCGCCTCCGCAAGGAGATACAGAATCGAATAACAGAATTCTAGATTTTTACAATGCTCGTCGGGAAAAAGGTATATCGCGTTTATTCTGGATTTTGCAAGAATAGATTACGAATATATAAAGGCCGGTATTAGTTAGTATTTATTATTGTTGACAGTTGTAAAGGGTTGAGTTGTTTGAGTTAATTAGTGAAGTTATTAGTGTCAGAGTGATAGTAACGTGGAATAAATTATTGTTGTGTTAATGGATTATTCTGATCTACTGATTTTATTGTTGTTAAACCCATGCGTATTATTTTCAATAGTCAATCATTTGTTTTTTGAGTTGTCAATAAAAATAAAATTGTAAAACTTGTCCCAAAGTTTTTTTTCTTAAAGCTACAAATTATAAAAGTGTGAATATTCAGGAATTGGTTTTCATTGTATGATTTAAATAGGATTATTCTATAGTGATTTTTGGACTCGATTGATTTAAACCTCCAAGTTGGGTTAATATACACTGTGATTGACGTAGCCAGTGCATTAGAATTCAATTGGATTGCAGGTGGATTAGTAGAGAAGATAGCATCTAATCCACCTGCAACCTAATGAACGGGCTACGTAAATAACCCTGTATAAGGTTTGTGAATATGAAAAAGTTAAACCCTATTTTCTCCCTATTCTTTTCAGATAAGTTCTCTGTTCTCATGAAGCAAAATTTCTAAATTCACTAAATAAAAACTAAGATTAATTCCTCCATAAAAACATAGGTATTATATAATATAATTCGCACAAATAAGTTTTTGAGCTTTGGACAGTGATTTACCATAAAGGTATTAAACCTATTGTTCTATTTTGATGATGCATTTGTTATAATAATATTCATAGTTTCGCTGAATAGACAACATATTTGTCAATAATAACCGATAAGAAATACCTTGCATTTCGATTTGGTGAGGCATTTTTTTTTTCCTATAACAATAAAGCAAAACAATTTTCCGATAAAATAGAAAAAAAAAATAATAATTTAGCCCTTGTGACCGTAAAATTACTTTCAATGTTTCAAAGTTGACCAATTATGGTACTACTGGTTTCTTACATGCGGAAGAACTTGGCAATAATAATAATTTCATTGACTATATCTGGGTAAAATTGTCTTATGATAATTTTTTTTTTCTGGGAAAATGTAAAAACTCCTTGAAATGACAATTATTAACGATGCCTGGTTTGAAATTCTTAAATCAACTTGAGAGTTGATACTTTTACACACAAAACTTGGGGCTATAAATCCAGGCATAATATTTTTATTATTGGTCTTATAAACTAATAAAATTACTATAGCGAATGAATTGATGGCCTCGCAGAAGAAAATCTAGATCAAGTATACCTTATCGATTCCCAATAAAATTTATTCCATTCAAAAAAACCGTACACTTTATTTAATTCGCGAAAAAAATTTATTAATTAGTCTTTTTACCATTTAGGTATTTATTGGCGCGTTGTCGATCGAGATTACCCGCGAGTACTGACTATAGAGGTACCACCGACCGGTGAATTCAACACGAAATTCATGTACCCATATACCGGTTTGTACCTATAAAAAAAATGGGTGCCGTACTTATTAATAATAATTTTGATTGTGTATCTCGCGTCCATAACTGATGATATGTTTGTTTTTTTGGTGTTTTGGTACCGGATGTACAAATCTGCTAGCTCTATTGTAGACTGAAAAAAAATTATGGGGACACGAATAATTGATCTGACGAGAGTGTTTCGAGGATATGAGAGGAAATCTTCTACTTCTTTTTCTTGTTAGACTGATCTTCATTCCATATTTTTCCATTTCGACCTGTCCTCATCCAGTTTCTTTCAGCAATCTCTAGATTCTGGACGTCATCCTCTACTAAAAATGCCTAAGACTATTTCTACTAAACAGGGAGATGTTTGGATGTAAACCCTTGTGATAAGCTAATTGGATCGATGAAGAAAAAAAAAAGAATTCAAAATAACGGAAGGATTTATTATTTTGTTACAAACTGTTTCCGAGAAATCTTAATGCAGATTGCTTTAATCGGTTTAATGGCCTCTTACCTATATAATATATTTTTTTAATTTTAAGGCTTGGTTTAGTCATCTTCAAAGAAATTTACAGGTACTTAACTGTCTACAAAATTAATTTACGAATCGGCCGGCCAGTTATCTGCCGACCAATACGATTAAAGATTGCGTTTTTATCCGTCAGATTGCTTGACAGTTTATCAGAAGGTGAATTAATGGATCCTTAGTGCATTTGGATCAATCGTTTGTTATGCCTTTTCATTAGCCAAAAATTACCTCAGGATGTGCCACACAAAAACAATATCATATTGACATTGACACAATCTAAGTTTTCTGTTAACTAACAAGGACTTCGAACAAATGACCTAGCCGTACTTAGGCCCGGTTTATTCACCTTCTAATAAACTGTCAGGGTCAGGTAAGTAATGCAATCTGACGGGAAAAAAACGCATTCTATAATCTTTTTTGTCGGCCAATGATCCGCCGATTGAAGGTTGGTGAATTTATCTTGTTTAGATAGTGACCAGTAAGTTTATCAGAAAGTGAATAAGTTGGGTCCTAGTGAAATTTAAAAAAAATTAGGCTCTCCAACGACGTGATTTTTCAATATGGCGACTGGGGGAAAATTCACGTTTGTTTGTTTATCTTGAGTTTATTTGGAATATTTTTAAGCTAATTACAGTTTACTTTGTTATAATTATAATATACTTTTCGATATGTATAGAGTGAATATTCAAAGACTTTTAAAAGCAGGAAAATTGGGATGTGGGCCAGTGATGCCAGGTCTTGTGAAATTTCACCAGATCTGTTTGTTTTATGAAAAATCTGGTGATTGATGAAAAGCTTTTTGAAAAATGGCAATTTCTGGTGATTTTGAAATTTCATCAATTTTGAATATTTTTAACAATGGCAAATGGCATACACTTCATTAACATACAAAATTCATTTGTTTGACAGAAAATCAAATACCCATAAGTCGTGTGTGAGGTCCTTTGATTTTTATATAAATTTGTATTTGTTCTTTTGATATATTTATATAGGTATGTTTCCCTTTTTATATTTCAATTTCTGTTTATTCCAGGCTCTTGTTGCTATTGGCCGGTTATTTTTTAAGTTGGCAACATGTATTTTGGTTGGCCAGTGGCGTTGCTTATGGGGGGTTTCAATCAAACCAATCGAAAACTCGAAATTTTTATTTTTCATATTTTCGAAATTTTGACTTTTCCAATTGATACAGCGGGTTTAAATTTTCGAAAAAAATTCACTTTCAAAATGGCGATTTCAAAAAGCTAAAAAATCTCAATTTTCGTTCTGGAAATTTTTTCAAATCTTGACAAGGTTAGGAATAATGGCCAATATCTTCAAAGAAATTTGAACAAACCAAAACAAATTATGTATGGTTAGGAAGAGCATTAAATTCTCTAAAAATCCATGCTAAATTGGTTCTGATAACTCGAATACTTTCTGGGCAATTGGATCTCAAAGTAAACTTTTAGTCCAAATTTTATCAAAAATTTAAAACTCGATTTTCTCGAAAACCATGAGAGCTAGCGATTTCAACTAAATACCATTTTAAAGCCCTTATCAAGAGTTACATTTCCTGAAAATTTTAATTCAAAATCTTTAATAGATTTTAAGATATCCAAAATCTAAAGGGGTAACCCTTTGAAAAATTCGAAATTTTAATTGTTCATATTTATTGAATTTTGACTTTTCCAATCGATAGAGCCGGTCTTAATTAGTCGAAAAAAACTCTAACATCATTACAAAATCTTGATTTCAACGAAGAGAAAAATTAACAAGAAAATCTCAATTTTTAAATTTAATTTTTTTTTTGAATCCTGACAAGGTTAGGAGCAATTGCCAATACTTCTATTAAATTTTGAGCAAATCAAAATAAATTGAGTTTGAAAATTTTGAAATTAAAATCCAAAGGGGTTTAACCCTTTGAAAAAATCGAAATTTTAAATTTTCAGAAAATCTCAATTTTCAGATCTAAATTTTTTAAAAATCCAGACAAAGTTAGGAACAATTGCCAATACTTCTATCAAATTTTAAGCAAATCAAAATGAATTATATATGGTTGGAAGGAGCATCAAATCCTCTATAAATCAGTGCTAGATTGAGTTTGATAACTCAAATACTTTTAGAGCAATTGAGCCTCAAAGTTGGATTTTAGTTGAAATTTAGTCAAAAACTTCAAACTCGATTTTCTCAAAAACCGTAAATGCCAGCGACTTCAACCAAGTACCATTTCAAAGACCTCATCAGGGGCTATAATCTTTAAAAAAATTGATTCAAAATCTTTGACGAGTTTCGAGAAAATTGAGTTTAAAAATTTTGAAATTAAAAACTAAAGGTTTTTTCCCTTCGAAAAAATCGACATTGTTATTTTTCAGATTTTTTGAATCTTGACTTTTCTAATCGATAGAGCGGATCTAAATTAGTCGAAAAAAACTCTAACTTCATTTCCAAATTTCGATTTCAAATGAGAAAAAAAATTAAAAAGAAATTCTCAATTTTTAGGTTTAATTTTTTTAAAAATCGTAACAAAGTTAGGAGCAATTGCCAATATTTCCATTAAAATTTGAGCAAATCAAAACAAATTATACATTGTTGGAAAGAGCATTACATTTTCTATAAATTAATGCAAGATTGAGCTCTATAGCTTAAATACTTTCCGAGCAATTACACCGCAAAGTTGAATTTTAGTCGAAAAAGTATCTATCAAAAACTTCAAACTAAATTTTTTCAAAAACAGTAAATGCCAACGACTTCAACCAAGTACCTTTTCAAAGCCCTCATCAAGGGCTACAATCTCAAAAAAAATTGGTCCAAAATCTTTGACGGGTTTCGAGAAAATTGAGTTTAAACATTTTGAAAAAAAAAATTCAAAGGGGGTACCTTTTGGAAAAAAATTAAAAAACTCAAAATTTTCATTTTTCAGATTTTTGAAATTTTGACTTTTCCAATTGATAGAACGAGTTCAAATTAGTCGAAAAAACTCTAACATCATTACAAAATCTTGATTTCAATACAGAGAATAATTAAAAAGATAATCTCAATTTGCAAGGCCTATTTGGGCTTTTTTTTTGTATAAATTCGAGCCTCAATGATTGACACAATATTTGTTATAAGTTGTAGTTGGCAACACTGTTTGACAAGGGACAAAGTAGGCATTGCAAAATTTTAAAATTTAAATATGGCGCCCAGTAATACCGACATTGCAATACATACATGTTTCCAAAGCCTACTTGGTTTGATATAAGCCCGTAAGGCGAGAATTTTCCTGAAAAATCAACTCAAGATTTCTGGTGATTTTGCATTCCAATTTCTGATGAATATATATAAGGTACCTGACCCAAATAAGGCCATGTACCTAATAGGGCCAGTGCCCCTTATTGCTGAATATTGAATACCATCTTCAAAAATTACAATATTATTGAAAAAGATATCTGTAATGCAAATCAAAAATTATTGCGAAGATTCCTAGCAACTCGTTATATGTCGAAAAATGGCCACCAGACTTCATATGTCACGTTTTAACTTTGAGGTTGGAACTTAATTAGTTTATACACATAGAGGGAATGGAGCGAATGTAATTTTTACATGGACATTTATGTATTGAAAAAGCTACAGAGTAAGTACAGAATAATATCTTTGCTAGATTTCTAGTGACAGACTTTTTTTTATCAATGTAACATGTTCCTTATAAGGCCACATGAAAAATTTTCGAGTGGCCTCACATCACATGTTTTTTTTAAAAGAATATGTCATATTTTTACTTAAGTGATGTGTTTTAGAGCGCCTGAAGTCTAACCAAGCAAGAAAAGCTGCGGTTCATTTGTCCTAGTTGTATGTAAATCTATTTGGATCACCATCCCAGGACTTAAAATTATTGTTTTTTTAGAATGCAGCAAGCGTTAAAGTTCTATTTTGAGTACTTTTTGTCAAAAAATAATATTTTTGCCGTGACGGGAAAAAAGTAGACTTTTTGTACCTGTTGACAGGTGCAAAAATGTCACTTTTTCTCTCATGGGAAAAAAGTGATTTTTTTTCCCACGGGAAAAAAGTAACAGGTACCGGTCAATTTTTTTTCTCAAAGGGAATAATGTATAGATGGAAAATGTTGAGATTTTCCCGTCACAGAAAAAGAAGTGCATTATACATAGGAAAAAAGTAAGATTTTAGCGCTCGCTGTGTTGTAGAACTGTTGAATGATGTAGAGCTCGCTGTGTGACAAAACACACCTCGCCCTAAAATCTTGTATTTTTTTCCCGTGTATAATAAATAACTAAATATTTTATAAGTGATTCCATTTATTTCAAACATTTTTAATTGGTGGCCTTATTTGGAGCATAGTGATCCAAATAAGGCCAAGGATAAGGGTCTTTGTTTTACGCAAAAACCACCACTTATATGTAAAAATAAATAAATTGGGGTTAATATTCAAGTAATAGAAGCGAAACACTTCACATATAAGCTAGTAATTTTTGTTGGGTTTGGTGGATA